CAGGTCCAGAGACAGGTCCGATTCAGCTTTTCGAGACAGATCTGTCTACACAGACTGCTTTTCGAGACAGCTTTTCGAGACAGGTCTGTCTACATAGACTGCTTTTCGAGACAGGTCTGTCTACACAGACAGCTTTTCGAGACAGGTCTGACTACACAGACAGCTTTTCGAGACAGATCTGTCTACACAGACTGCTTTTCGAGACAGCTTTTCGAGACAGGTCTGTCTACATAGACTGCTTTTCGAGACAGGTCTGTCTACACAGACAGCTTTTCGAGACAGGTCTGTCTACACAGGCAGCTTTTCGAGACTGGCCTGTCTACACAGATAGCTTTTCGAGACAGGTTAGTAGTAACGGGGGCACCTGAGCCTGAGAAATTTTTCGATACCGTGGAAAAATCTCTAAATCGGCGGCGCCTTTGATCTGAAACAGCTATACAGGTCTAGAGATAGGGTTGTATACACCTATACAGGGCTAGAGACAGGCCTGTATACAGCAATGGTAAGCAAGGGTTAGTTTGGGTTAGTTATAGGTTAGCATAGGACCCCCCACGTCGTTGGGTCAGTTAGGGAAGATTCGTAACTGACCCAACGACGTGGGGGGTCCTATGCTAACCTATAACTAACCCAAACTAACCCTTGCTTACCATTGCTGTATACAGGCCTGTCTCTAGCCCTGTATAGGTGTATACAACCCTATCTCTAGACCTGTATAGCTGTTTCAGATCAAAGGCGCCGCCGATTTAGAGATTTTTCCACGGTATCGAAAAATTTCTCAGGCTCAGGTGCCCCCGTTACTACTAACCTGTCTCGAAAAGCTATCTGTGTAGACAGGCCAGTCTCGAAAAGCTGCCTGTGTAGACAGACCTGTCTCGAAAAGCTGTCTGTGTAGACAGACCTGTCTCGAAAAGCAGTCTATGTAGACAGACCTGTCTCGAAAAGCTGTCTCGAAAAGCAGTCTGTGTAGACAGATCTGTCTCGAAAAGCTGTCTGTGTAGTCAGACCTGTCTCGAAAAGCTGTCTGTGTAGACAGACCTGTCTCGAAAAGCAGTCTATGTAGACAGACCTGTCTCGAAAAGCTGTCTCGAAAAGCAGTCTGTGTAGACAGATCTGTCTCGAAAAGCTGAATCGGACCTGTCTCTGGACCTGTATAGTTAGAACGTTTTATAGTCTATACGAAGTTACTTGGACCAAGCCTAAAATAAACGTATGGTCAATATACTGCATCACATATTAAAAAATATAGCAAAATTTATACTGATTGATCCTCGTACCCGTTGGAAGCCAGACAAGTAAGAATGGATAGGTATATTATCTGATTGGCTTCATCCTCCATGTACACGTTCGATACCAGTAAACGTGGACTCAATAGATCTGATTGGCCATTGCCGATCATGATTGATTGACATACTGTCTATTGATTATTAATTTTAGTACTGTTTTTTGAAATTATGCCGTCCATGTTTGACAAAGAAAAAGCTGATGGATGCCGGGATTTAGTTAGTTTTTATGCTAGTCCAAGTGACTTGGTATAGACTTTACTTACAAACATTTTTTATCAATAATTACTCAAGGATCTAGTGCCTTGTCTACAGTGCTGGATTTTGGTGTGATGGTCTGAGGACTCGATTCCCCGGCTAGAATTTTTGCAATCGATCGATGACGAGACGACGACGAAGATGACGCTCGATGGCGGGACGATAACTGTGTTTTGAGGATGATAGCATGAGATAAGGAGCTGCGGTCGAATTCCGGGAAACTCCCCAAAAATTTGGGTTTGGTTCGGGTCAAACCCCGAAATTTCAGATCAAATGCATCGTCGATCTAGATTTTTCCCACGGTATCGATAAACTCCCTAGACATAAAAACGCTGTGTGGTTAGTCCTTCTATACTATTTTCCATTTATTTTGCGTTCCAGATTTGATTGACATTCGAAAAGGTAGAAATGAAACAGCTCCTGGTAGCTTAGTTGGTTAGAGCGTTGCACTGGAAATTCAGGGGTTCTGGGTTTAAATTCCAGTCGAGGCAAGAAATTTTTTTATCAATTTTTAATTATTACGTCTGCCTGCCACTAAAATAAACACACGATTTTCTAAGCCAATGATTTGAATTACTAGGATTAACAGAAATTCAAACAAAGTTAAACTTAGACACGAGGAATTAAATAAATAAACAGTGACCTGTTTGTATTTTACACTTTAACATAAAACCAAAATGGTGGATGTAAATGTACGTAATATGAATGTTTTTACTAAAATGTACGTCTTATGTACGTTCTGAATAGGTCCACTGATCTAAAAAATAAATGGATAAACAATTCATACGGCTTGATTTGCATAATTTGTGCGAAAGTTTGGGATCAATATTCTACGAACAGTTGTGCAACGGAACAGCCTTACGCCTGCGCAGTGTCTTATCTTTCGAACAACTGTTCTAAGTTTCGAAATTCCTTCATTTTCATTGGCCAGATTTTGTGTACGCACAATACATGTATCTACTGCGCATGCTCACAGCTGTCCCAGTCAGTTGTTTTTGTTTAGATTTTGACCTCGTGAATTAGCAGCATTAGTAGCGTTCTTTGTTTATCCATTTATTTTCGAGATCAGTGAATAGGTCATATGGACGTATGAACGTGAATATGACATAAAATGGATGTTCTATGTATGCAGTGTGTTTGTTCGGTTTCATTAATATTTTGCAGGACCTATAATATTATATGGATGAGTCAGGCACAGTCTATCAGTTATTGATGAGTAGGTAAAATGAATTAAATTGCATGCGTATACAGTCCATCATTTATAATCCTGCGGAATTCTTAAGACCAATTCGATGTCGAATTGCTGATTCTTATGCTAGTTCGGATCGACTCTCTGACGTAAGTAAGAGGTCCCGTTTCGGCTTTTCGATTTGCTGATCTTTGTTCGAATGATTGGCTATCCTTTTTTATTTTGAAGTGACAAGTTGTGGTGTCATGTGTTGTGTTTATGTTTTATGTTTGTCGTTTGTGTATGTAATCCTTCGTTATATTTCATCTTTTTCAACAAAGCCGCTGACTAATCACTCAACATGTCGAGTGCTGGTGAACGCGGTCATTCTCACATAAGGAATACGGGAGTGTGGAGTTGAGAGACGAGAAGAAAAATGTAAATTTAAGTTTCTCCTACCCTACGAGTCGTGCGTCTAAAGTGAAGGTTTTGCTGTTGACGGTGCTGCCTTAAGATTTCGTTGCAACATAATAATTAAAAATTGAAATTATTTTCAACGCGAAAGGAATCTTTAGAAGTAAAAATAGTTTGAATTGAAGCGAAAAATAAATTATAAAATAATAAACATAATCTATCATCTATCATTCAAATTTGAAGGTCGATTTTTCTCTCGTTTTTCATACCACCGTCTATTTGATGTCGATACGAAATTCGACAATAATACATATGAATCACTCTCCATCCGATATCGAAATAGGTATCGAATGACAGCTAGCGAGCCATAGCGACTTGTGACAAGATAAGAATCCCCTAGCTGATACTCCAATATGAGTTGGTGTGACTCCCTACGATTGTACGTCAATGGTCACCTGATCTCACACCTGTTTTTACCGTATCCTTCCTTCTTTTGCTCCCCATACGGAAAGTGTCGACTTAAAAAAGCTTAACAATATAGTATTCGATGGCCTATCCTAATGTTGTGCACAATGCTCTCGTTGAATTTTGTTTAAATTATTATAACCTAACCTAGTCTAGAGGCCATAAATAAAAAGCAGAAAAATATAATAACAAAAGTTTTATTTAACAGAAAATTTACTGGTACAACTTCATAATTTAGGTTCTACGTTCGGGTTTTGCAAAATAATGAGATGGTATCCTTTTTTGTTCAACAAATTGTGAAAATTCGCAAGGCAAACAAAGTCGATTAGGTATATCAGTTTCACCCTTACATCTGGGGCATGTATACTTAATGGGGATTGGCATTGTAAACAGTATCAAGTCTATCAACGTAATGCTTGATTTCAATGAGAAAGTCTCCTGTTATACAATTTTGAAGTTTGATAATTATTACTAATGCGGCATGTTTTGAATAAACTCCTGTGATAACACTTAGTACTTTGGGAGACTTGGGTATCATTCGAATACTAGCTATTTTGAATCCTATTCGAATCCTGTATTAGAATCCTACGGCAAGAGACCCGACGTCGGTTGAATCAGAAAAAAGTATACTGCAACTTTGTGCTCATTATTATGCTGCTTTGATATTTCAAAAATTCCGAGTGCTTTCCAGAGATATCCGGAAAACCCCGAAATTCGCCAGAAATGATTTTATTTTTCCAATACCGCTTGTCAATAATAGGCAATCATCCTTACGCTTATAATCCTTGGTTTGTGTCAATATCGACGCTTGTCAATAATGGGCAGTCCTCTCGACGCTTATAATCCTTGGTTTGTGTCAATCAATAGCTGTCTTTCTCTGTTCCTTTACGTTACATCTTTCTTGTCTCTCGAGTAACGAAATTTGCCCGTGACGCGTTTTTCAAATCGCTCTCCATTGTCGTCCAAATAGCAGAACGCCGTTTAAGAAGTTTCTTTTCAAAAATTATTGAAATGGAAATAATCTTGATACAATTTTGGAACATAAATAAAAGTTGTAGGATATCTTAAGTGTGTGCTGGCGCTATTTGACTGTGGGTTTGGGTTGGTGGTCTACAGAGATCAATGGTGGCTTCATCTCTGCCATTCTCAGGAGAATAAAACATAGTTTATACTAAAGCTTATTTTTATTCTCAACAATCATTGCCAATATGGTTAATAGAATTGTGAGTGCGACTACCATCTAAATTGTAGCAATATTCATAATCATAAAAATGAAATACGTCTTTATCGGCACCCTTGATTTTTTTTTTTTTTTCAATATATATTGAGTATTTAAATAGAAACAGATCCCAAATTTCCGCCTGCGAACGAAATCCGCGAACGTACTCCTCTGGAAGTAATTCGTATAAACTGCTAATTTCTCACATTCCTGAATATCTAGCTTGGAACTACTGGAATACTTTTTTCCTCAACCCATGTTATTTCTGGATGACATGATTTAAAAATTCCACCACATTGATTGCAGATCTTGGCAGATGTTCGGCAACTCCCATGACGTTACAGGTTATCCTGGTACTGGCAGATATGAATAGGCTTTTAGAGGGTTATGATCCTATTAATACTCATATTTAGAGCTTTAAGTTGTTGGAGCGTCCAGCCTGTAAGAGACATTGTTTAGTATATAACACTGCAATTGAAATGATACACACCGCTTTCTTTTTCCTAGAATTCTGTGAACTTTTTGTTTAGGATGACTGAAAACCTAAATGACCAAATTTATTTATGAGCAGGGGGTGGTAGTGACAGCCGGTATCCACTTCCAGTTTCAACTTGATAGTGGTTGTCATATTTTAGTCCTCTATGTTATTCCATAGTTACCCTGATTTGTTGAAGGAAAAACTAGTTTTAAAACCCCTTCTTCTCGTTTACGTGTACGCATGTTTGTTGAATTCGGTGGGTCGGTTGCTCAAGAATGTGCGAAGTTAGTTTTCTCATATCCTTGCGCTATTTAACTGTTTGCTCTAAATTATTTTTTTCGTATACGCATTTTCTGCTATCCTGGTAATTGTGGCATAAAATCATTCAGTCCTCCGTCCGTCCTAATACTGGATAGGTATGCCACAGCTAATTTCAAAACGTGCTTCACGCTGATAGGGTCCTGCTTTGATGAAAGCCGCTATGTTTCAATTCGGTTCTTGAAAGATGTTTTGACAAGACTAACGTCTTCCTCCTGCTTCACCAGGTGTTGGCTCGGTGCGAGAGACACCGAAGATGACCAACCCATTGATTTATCAGTGCTTCCAAGTCGCAATCCTCACACCACCGGCATGTGGCTGATATTGAAGGTCCTGAAAATAATTGAATTAGATTTAAAAAATTCACTTAATGTCAACTTACCAGCAAAAGTCTAGCTTGCTTCATCATGGGGGCGGCGGGATCTCCAGCCTTTCGTTTGGAGGCTCTCTTGGAGCTTGGTGTTTGGGTGGTGTTGGATAGCCCCCTCTGCTTTAAAAATCCCACCACATTGGTTACAGATCTTGGAAGATGATTAGCAATCCCATGACGTTTCAGGTTATCTCCTTCCTGGTGAACGATTTTGTGCACAAAATTAAAAATTCGCTGTTTATGGAGGTTTGTTTTAAAATAAATGAAAAAATAAAACCAGTTTAAATTGGTTAAAGAACCTACCTAAATTTTAGAAAAAGAAATTTGAGTTTTGTGCAAATGTAAGTGAAAAAGTAAATTCAAGTTGCTGCGTAAAAAACTATTGGAATTAAATTAAGAAATAGGTACTCAGGGTTGTCTGTATTTTTAAAAAACAAACAATATGTTTATGTGTTGAGGAAAATAAAAATAATTCAATAATCGAGGTTTGTGTTAATTTAAAATATGTCTCAGGGCATGATTTATCCTACATCACTTGGATATTTAAAAATAGTACTTACAGTTTTTCGAAACCGACACTTATCGCACAAGAAACTAAACTTTGAAAATCCAGGTTCAAAGTACTGGTACTGGATGCTGCGTTTTTTGTACAAAGAATAAAAATTGAATCCTCATCTTTTACAGGTAACAATGTATCCACTGAAATTTTGTATTGCATAGGGTTATTGGCTCATACAATGTCAACGATGCTAATTTAAATCTATTCTTTTAAATTTTGATAAATCGATTGAATTTGTCACCTTTTTTAAAATAAAAATGGGCATATTAAATATCTAACTTAATAATTACGCCTTAAACTAAAAAATTATCTTTAAAATGTGTTGTTGTTTTCCTCGGACGGCTTCTGCGAACGGTCCTGATATAATTCAGATAAAAAAACTGCCGAATAAGCGTTTACGTTTGGCGGTGTTTTTTGTATGTGATACTTCGAAGTTTAAATCGGATTTTATAATAACAAGCTTCTTTCAGTTTCGCTCAAACTAGTCAACAGTGGAAAATATAAAATTATTGCACAACAATTAATTTGATTTTAACCAAGTAAGTAAATATCTTATATACTAATATCAATCAACAACAAGACCTGTCTTTTCCTAGCAAAGGATTGAAAACACTGAGAAAATTACAAGACCTGAAGCCTCATAGAAAGTGAAATTTCCAATATTTTGACAGCGTTTTTTGTATGTTATGTTGTTAATTCGAAGTTTGAATCGGATTTTATAATAATTAAGCTCTTTCAGTCTTGTTTGAGACTCGTCAACAACAATAAAATTATTGCACAACAATTATCATTTTAACCAAGTAAGTGAATATTATTATATACCTACTGATATCGATACAATTATGGAATATTTTAGATATGGATTTGAAATCAATCAACAAGGCCTGTCTTTTTATAACAAAGGATCAAAAACACTGAGAAAATTATAAGTCCTCGTAGAAAGTGAGTGTACCCAATATTTTCTACGATAGAGACCTCAAAATAATTGCAAATCTTTACTGGAACCAATAAACTATACAAATTAAGGTAGATCATAAAACTATTGTACAGAAATTATTATTTTAACCTAGTAAGTAAATATCTTATATACTTAGGTAATCGATACAATTGTGGCATATTTTTAGCTATGGATTTGAAATACTCGTTGAATTTGACGACAACGCAGTGTTTCTCCCAAGACGTACCACCAAAATGATTAGATCATTAAGCAGTTTATTGATGGAAAATATTCGCTTTTTGAAATCGTTTTCTTAAAAAATGTATGTTTTTAATAAAAAAACGAGGCCCCTTCCCCATCAAATGCGGTTCCAACCAAGGATAATACACACTACTACTACAGGATAGCCTATCCTCATAAGGCCTGTGTGGAACAAATCCACTCTCTCCCCAACGTTAAATCACCAGTTGTGACGTAAGCAGCATGTTATTTCTCGCCTTGACGTAGGTTGTTTAAACAGCTGATGACTTAGTTATGGCGTCGTAAATGGTAACACACGAGGTCAATAAGCAATCCTGTAGGTGTGTATCATCCTTGAGCTCGAACACCCTCTACCAGGTACAACATGAAGCTAGCTGCTGGACCCTCATAGTTACGTCTCCACCACAGCATCCTGTTATAAGACACATCAAACTTGACACATGTACTCTAAATGGCGCCACGGACGTGACCCAGGTCGCTATGACGTCATCACAGAACCCGAACCATGAATCGAACTTTGCACTATGTACTCTAAATGGCGCCACGGACCCGCACTGACGTAACCCACGTGACCCAGGTCGCTATGACGTCATCACAGAACCATGAAACGAACTTCGCACTATGTACTCTAAATGGCGCCACGAACGTGACCCAGGTCGCTATGACGTCATCACAGAACCTGAACCCTGAATCAAACTTTGCACTATGTACTCTAAATGACTCCACGGACGTGACCCAGGTCGCTATGACGTCATCACAGAACCCGAACCATAATTTAATATACGTAGCGATTTCGAAACGACTCGGAACAATCCCTTCCACGCAAACTCCATATTACAGGAACCTGTAATTGCAAGAATTCACCGCACTCTCTCGCTATGACGTCATCACAGGTGACAGATGACGTTTGACAGATGACGTTTGACAAAATGGCGGGAAAACATTTCCCCCCACCCCTTTTTCTGTTACCCATATTAAAATCCGGGGGCCCCTTTTTGGAGGGCGCAGCCCTTTGCACTATGTACTCTAAATGACTCCACGGACGTGACCCAGGTCGCTATGACGTCATCACAGAACCAGGAACGACTCAAAACTCCCGATATGACGTCATGACGTTTGACAGATGACGTTTGACAGGTGACGTTTGACAGATGACGTTTGACAGGTGACGGTTGACAAGATGGCGGGAAAACATTTCCCCCCCACCCCTTTTTCTGGTACCCATATTAAAATCCGGGGGCCCCTTTTTGGGGGGCGGAGCCCTACGGGCCCCCTTTTTGGGGGGCGCAGCCCTACGGGCCCCCTTTTTGGGGGGCGCAGCCCTACGGGTCCCAACTACAGCATCCTGTATTACGAACTTCACACTATGTACGCTAGATGGCGCCATGACGTTTGACAAGATGGCGCCGACGATGCATCCACCTTCGTGTCAACGGCGGCGCATCCACCACGTGTCAAGAATGAAAGATTGAGGTTATGGTCGGATTTTGATGCTAGGACCCGCTTTGACTATCTACTATGGTCAATATGATAATACCGTTTTCTCGAGAAAAATTGTAGGCCTGTAGGGTACAATGACTGACGTGGTTATCCAGGACCAAAAGCACTGGATCTACTTTGGACGACTTCACAAATAACTGAAAATGTTTTAGCCATGTTACGAACAATTCTTCTGTGATCCATCCATTGTCTGAACATTCATACACCGCCCCTGGGGGACCATTTCGCTTTAGTTGTTGTGTCATCCTTTTGCGAGCATATATAAACATCGGTGGCACGTAAATGCTAGATGCACTAAACGCGCACATCACCGTCGTTGTCTTACCCTTTTCCCAGCTCGTCACAAAACCAAGCCTTCTTTGACCCTTTTCTGCCAATATCTTATTTGGACGTTGGACTGTCGTAATCCCAGTTTCGTCACAGTTAAAAATTCTCTGTGGCAAAAATTGATATTTTTCCATAAGAAGACGAAGATTTCTCCAGAGAATAGAAACCTCCTCTCGATTAAATGCAGTAATTCTGTTGAGACTGGTTCCTTCAGGTTTCCGTAAAACAATATTGTGGCGTGACATGAATCCAGCTACCCAGTCCTTACCAGCCTCTTCTTTTTCCCTGTTAAATGGTGTTTGAATGTTATGGGACTGTGCATAGGTGAAAGCACATCGTTTTACTTCCTTGGGGGTCAAACCAAAGTAAAGATTGGATAACTTCTTAACTTGATCTGCAAGTTCATTTTCGGCCTGTGACGATAAAACTGGTTTCCGGCCTAATGAAGGTTTAGAAGTTTCCTGATTTCTTCTTCTTTCTTGTAAAGTCGATCTAGGAATATTGAATCTTATAGCAGCTCGTCTCTCGGCTCACCCATTGGCAACAGCGGCCAGTGCAGCTTGTAACTGTTCCTTAGTCCAAGAGGCTTTTGTTGTTTTTCTTGCATACTTGCGCGGCATCTTAATAATACAATACCTATATTTATTTTATTATATTCTTGAATTCTTACGAAAATGGGGTAATACCGGCCGGCCGGCATTCCTCTCCTTAGACTGGCCGGTATTACCCCATATGCACGCTATTTTCTAATTGCTGGATTATAAATTTAGGTTAAGGTTGAGAGTAAAACACAAATAACGCTTTGAAGAGGAACATTTAAACCATGTTTTAGGCAAAAAACGGATACCCTAACTAAATAAAAACATCAACTACATACCTTTGAAAATACCTTATCGCTATAAAAAAAATCGCAAAAACCGTTTTTCACTCACAACGTGCCTGAGCAGTGCACTGAAATATCAGAACAAATATGAATAATTTTAGAGGCCACTTTTATGCAACCCACAATACACACAAATGTAACAACGTTACCAGTACACGAGAAACTAGCCGGCCGGCATTACCCCGTTGGCCGGGATTCCCCCACTCTACCCTACTAGCTTATTAGTGTTCAAGCGAGTGTTCAAGCTGTGCGTCCTGGGATTCGTTACCCGGGGAAGAGCTTTTTTTTTAAATTGAGTGATGATTAATTTGAACTGCTTTAGTGTGGAAATTTGATAATTTTACCAAATTCCTCGTTTTTTGGTTATTTTCCAGCATATGGTCAGATGCATAGAGAAATATAATAAACCAAGGTAAGAGTTACCGATTCATATGCGCCAAGTGGCAACGTATGTCTTGTAGCACATGGTGGCGCTAGTAGAGCTTAGAAATATCTGACAATTCTGACATCGCCTCCCATTCTTATATCTGTCTCTTTTTAACAGGTGTGATGATAAAGGAAGAGAGGACATAGGGTTTTTTTATTTATTATTGCGATTTCTAACCTTTAAAATGACATTTTCGTTTTTCAAAACTGACACAAATAAGTGTCAAGTGAACCTCTAAAATTAATTAGTTTATTAAAAATACATGATTCTAGTAAGATTTACAATGTGAAAATCGTTAAGTTTATGCATGAATAATAATAATTATTAAATACCATCAACCTATTATTAGTGAAAAGTGAGATGTTTCGATCAAAATATATAGATTACTTCATGGACATTTTTTGATTATTGATTCTTGTTTTCAGGCCAGCGTTTTCCCGCATTTCTTTTCCTGTCGACTGATTCAAGTTCTAACTTCGCAAACCATATCGTGGATGAGAAACATATGTTTGATCCCCAAAATGGTGTTAAGGTCATTAAGCGCTGTAATTTTGGCACCAAATTAAACCTACTGGAAATCTCAGAGATTAATAAAGCCATAAAAAATACTGGGGTACCTTATCTGAATGATCAAATTAATTTTGACTGCCTCCCTTTTTTCAATGCCTTGATCTTTTGTTTTCGGCTGCATTTCATTTGTGTTTTTTTGTAACTATATGAGTTTGGTTTGGTTAATTTCTCTCCCTATTGGGGTTGTTAATGCGTGTGGTGACACCTGTCGGTGAGAGCTCCAACCATCCTTTTAAGATGTTTGATTTTACGGTGTTTTCTGTAGTCAAGGTCAACTCAACCTTCCTTAAACAACAACAGTTAGATTTTAGGATCTTGCCAATTATAAAATGTAAAAATAAAAAATTCATTTTCTATAGGTTGAATTGAGCCCAAAACATGTAATAGAATTTCTTTTTAGTTAAACAGATAATATGTAGCAAGAAATTTGATCAATTTGTAAAAACCAATACTTTCGTCTTAAAGAAATCACCTTTTGAACGTTGAAATTTTAAATTTGAATATGACGTTTCTATGATAGCTACCAGCTGTCACCCCTTTCATCTGACCATATGCTGGAAAATAACCAAAAAACGAGGAATTTGGTAAAATTATCAAATTTCCACACTAAAGCAGTTCAAATTAATCATCACTCAATTTAAAAAAAAAAAGGTCTTTCCCCGGGTAACGAATCCCAGGACGCACAGCTTGAACACTCGCTTGAACACTAATAAGCTAGTAAGTACACATTACTCAAAGTTGACCATTGGACTCAACCCAGAGATAAATACTATATAAACTGTCGAGAATGGAATCTCAGTGTAAATTTTGTTGTCAACAAAATTGAGCCAAACCAGCGCCATCTACCACATCGGAAAATCACTATTTACTGGTTTTGCATCGATGCTACAGACACCTACTTTACATAGGACTTTTTATGATAGATGGCGCCTTGTTCGCATTACTGTCGGTCTGTTCAAATTCGTTTATTCTAGACTTTGGGGCATTAATGTTTGCTTAAATTATTTGATAATTTGTTAATTAGATCAAAAGACAGTTTCTTTATCGATGGTTAAGGGATCCTTAACATATTTATTCAAAGTTCTAATTGATGTTTAATTGAACCTGTCATTTATCTAATCAACATGGATAAAAATAGATCTTCCAATCTATAAAGTTTGAAGTTCTTCTTGAAACACACAAAACAACTTTGAAATCACTTAAGAACACTTGACAACACAAAGAAAAATGAAATGCAAGACCGGCGAACAAAAAACATTATGAATTATTAGTTAAGATCAAATGAATATTTTGGGATATTGTCATATGTTGACATGTCAGTTATCGACATCGGACGTGTTCTTGATGTGCTGGTATTTTCCAATTTTGACAATTCTGTGGTTTTTAGCGACATCTAGAAAAACGGAAAAGAGTTATTTTGTGGTTTATAACTGGCAATGAGAGATCGCAGGGCCTGACTCAACCTGAAGTTTTTTTCACCCTTAGATTTCTCCGCTCGTTTCTCCAGCCAGGATCCACTGCCTCTGGCATGATCAACACTCCCCTTCTTTCTCTTAGTGAGCAACAATTTCCTTGATATGTCTCGATGTGCTTACCTTAGATCACAGGTTCATACAAACGAAAGCATTGGTTTAATGAAATAAGGTATGTGGAATTATTCCAAATCTTGTATTTAGAAATTACTGTTAGCCAAAGTTATTCCTCAAACTCTTATCAGTTTATATAATTTTAGAGCTGAAGATGGATATTGATATCCGAAACATGTACTCAAAATAAAAATTCAATACTGAATTTTATATAAAGAATTGTGGAGAAGACTTCGAGTTTTACTTCTTGATATTTAAGAAGCTCCACTGTGAGAAAAATGGACTATTTTTTCAATTTACTAAATTTAAACATGGCGGCCATTACCGCGGCCTTAATTTCTATACATTGTAACGATGTGCAAATAGCCCAATACCCATCAGTTTGAAATAGTTTATCCTTATTGCCCTTATTTCGTTCCAATATAATATAATGAATATTATTATTTTTTTTTTTTTAAGTATTTATTTATTTTATTGGGGCCCAGGATTGATGAGGGGTTTTTACGCATTTTTGGAAACTTGTCTCAAACATCCAATTCAACACTGTAAAGTGATTCCTGTTGATCACACGGGTTAATATTGCCTGATTGCCCAAGCATCTGTTATCCGTTATGCTTTTTTTTCTAAATTAATTTATTTCAATTCAAAATAGCTATAATATCATACTTTTCATAACAAAGATCTTTCTTACTAGTAGAAATAATATGTAGGTAAAGTCCGTTTCACCAGGGTTCATACTTGACCTTGAAACTTGAAAAAAAAGGGTTGTCGTAGATTAATTCATATGACACATTCGATTTTTTTGACAAATTAAAATGAATGACTTTTAGTTTAAGAACCGACGAACGTTTTTGACGCCATTGATTTGTTTCAGTCAATTTTTATTTGTTAAACAAGGAAGGTAAATGCTGGTGGCAAGTACAAACCCTGGCGAAACAAACTTTACACTATCTTTCGTACCTTAAAGGGGGTGTGCGCCAAAAATTAAAGTTTTAGTGTGGAAAAATCTAAGAATAACTGTTCAAACCTCGTTATTCTACGATAAACCATCGCTGAGATATACCGCTTTAAAGTGTGAACCACGCTCTCGTGACGTCACGAGAACTTCGTCCAGCTGCGCTCCGCATTGTTAATTTGATTGTTCCCGGCACGTCTGAGTGGTTTCTGTTTAGATTATTGCAGGTAACACAGGAAAAACATTATGTAAATTTAATTAACTCGACTTTCTCGTGCGTTGCTTGAGCTTTCGTGACGTCATAGGGTGAGATGCGGTACCTTCATAGAGCCATATCTGCGGTATTATTTGTCATAGAGGGGTGCGGATTTCACTGTTATTCTTAGATTTTTTTTCTCTTTTTTTTGAGATGAAGTTGGTTTTTTGGCGCACACCCCCTTTAAGCAGGTATCCTAAATCCTAATTATTTATCCTCGTCGCCATTTTGTAATGTTTGAGCTTCGTGATGCATAAATATCAAAAGCCACCAAAGCACATATGACTTATTCCTTTATTCACTCGTCTTACAATGATTCACAAAAACAACCCTCACCAATCCTACCCGACAATGGTACCAAAAAACGTATAAATTCAAAGTTTTAGTTAGCAGCGTCACGATAGGATAAACAACTACCAAAATATACAAAACGATGTTATTTTGTAATTCTTATACACTACACCTCGGATAGGACATACCCTTGCAAATATTGAATCGGTCGAAACCAAACGTTTCAAGAATATTCTCAACCTAAACATAAATTGATAAAGTTTCCTCCACAAAAATTATAATTGTTCTACTTTGGTACATATTTTGCGATTGCATGCTAAATATTTATTCCCAAATAACATGAGAATTTTCGCTAAAAAAATTTATGAAACAAGTAGAATTTTGGATAGAATATTGCAGCTTGTCTTGAAATATAGATTCATTGACTCCCTAACGCCGGTTTTGCGCGAGATTATTATTTATTAGAGCTCGTCCGACGCAAAATTAATGAGCAAAAGCCCGCATCCCGGGAGCTGAAATATGATTCTCTAATCATCACAAAGCCACCTTTATAACTTTGAGCAATTTGTTCCACTTTGCACCCGTTCGAAGCTGACAGGAAGGAAATAAACTAAACAGCAATTATTATTACTTTCTGAAAACTACGAATCTCCAAAAAACTAAGTGTGAATTATACATCGCAAACTTGTATCAAAAATCAGTTTTCAAGTCGCTCGGCCATCAGTTTTCCTAATTCTGTCTAACTCTGTAATTTACTTTCCAGATCGTCCCAAAGTGATTAGCGTTGGACGAGAACGCGTCAAAACCTCCACCCTGTTTGCCCCGGTCAATTTCGAATGTCTGGGCGAAGGCAACCCACCGCCGACCTACCAGTGGATCCAGAAGAAAACTTCGCAACAATCGGACAGCGTCGTAGAACGCGGCAGGGAGGCCAAGCTACACATCAAAAACGTCACATACGAGTATCAGGGAGAATGGAGGTGCAAGGCTACAAATGTTATTAAAGGAGAGGAACAGAGTGATATAAGTGAGCCCATTATACTTCAAGTACATGGTGAGTGTGATTTGAGTCTCTAATACTAGTTTAGAATGGGCCAATCGGAATAAGCCGTTACCTCGCCCCAAAGTCATATATGTACGATGTAGGTGAAAAACATTCTGTATTGGGGTGGAGGCATATTAAATAGAGGAGACTCTGGCTCGAAATCAAGGTGGGTGGAGGGTGCCTCACAAGAGCATTTCTAAGGTGTTTCCTGCACTGCTTCCTCCAATGGGGTCCCTGTGGAAATCTAGCTCAAGCAAGCATCAATACGATTTCTGTTAGTTTGAGACACTCCACAGTCATCGTATACCTACCAGTCACAGCCAGAGCCATAATTGCGAAAACGGAAATATTGTACAGAACCCCTATTTCTCAGCTACTAACCCGACTGTCATAAAATTCATATTGTAATAATATGTATTTTTCTTTTGGTAAGGCATCGGCCTCCTAGTCCAACTTCCTGTTTGTGATTCATACCTTTTCGCACAAGATATGGTTCAATGGGCCCGCTTTAACTCTCGCGTCACTGAACTTTTCAGTTTGAAGACAGCGTGTTGTATCCTTTTTGCAAACTCGATTCGTAAAGTCGAATTTCTCTCCCGGAGAAAAGTGTTCGCACGTAATTTATGCGCTTGAAGAACATTAAGTGCGACAACTCTTACAAATATATAAATCTGGGGAGTCATTTATTTTTTACCGTAACTCTGCCCTTTTATTGTTGCCAACCCAAGAAATTTGAGACCACGAAAGTCAATTAAGGGTTATATACCTACTAGTGCTCGGAGACACAGGAGAATCAAACCAGTGTACTTCGAGCTAATATATTTATTTCGATAACTAAGCCTTAGCACTTTCGGCCTCCCGGCCATCCTCAGTGCTAGTTGTCAGTTAATGTGCACAGGAACCACTGAATGGACAAATAGAGTCATAAACATACGCTGTGAATAGTAAAATTATAAAAATTTATATAGGGTGTTTTAATAAGAGGTTCCGGATAATTTTTTTTTTTTTTCCAATTCAAACGATAAGCAAACTAGGAAACATTTAATACTTTATAGCAATAAGTAACATGATCCTTTACAATTATACGTGGAACACAACATCCAACAAATAGCCACATCGACTTCTCTCATAGCATACAATTGTTTTGGCAAAATTTTCGATCGCATCTGTGCACATTTATGGTGGTATCTCACGATTCACGAATAATGCGCCGAATCTCATCTTTCAGCTCTTGAATTGTTTGGAAATTGTTCACATACCCACGTTACTAGAATTTTTGTGGGGTTGCGTCAAAAGTAAAGCATATGTGAACAATCCCCGAACAATTCAACAGTCAACATCCGGAACCTCTTATTGGTACACCCTTTATAAACATTGTAAAAAGTTGTGAACATTGTGAAAAGGAACTGGCCTACACATTAACCCGCGAGTACACGCGTGTCGGTCAAAAAGACCGACCATTGATAAAATCAGTAATAATGCCACTGGTACAAGGGTGACAGTTTTGTCCATCCAGGAATGCCTGATGCAGGTTTTCCACTACCCATTGGCCCAAATATATTTTGGTTTTTGGTTGAGGAAGGGTTCGTTATTTTCATAGTCGGTGCTTTTGACTAGGCGCGTGAACCTGAGTATCTGAAATATTTGTGTTAAAAATTGGCATTTTCTGATATTGGGAGTACTTTTGGCTGTCGATAATACGGTAACTGTACTGCATAATATAATTTCCTTTGTAATAATTATGAATGGGTCGTGGAATTCAAAAATAAAGAAAACGTGTAGCCCCTTTGGTTGGGGTTTCACTTCCGTGAACTGGAGCTCTTCGTGTTGTTTCCTGTATCCAGAAAAGGGGATAGATTGCTAGTGTGACGTCACTCCAGCTGATCCAGACTCCAAATGGTGATCTTTAATGTGAAATAGGTACCCAGAAAAGAATAAAACAGTATCAGGTTCACCAAGGTTTGGAATATTAAATTCCTGAATTCTGTCAAAAAGCGAGGGTCTTGCAAAGAACATTTAAATTGAAATTAGTTTATTATAAAACTATTGTTGTTGTTGTACAGACACTCCTTTCCAACAGAATCAGGTATGAGCAACTATTGCAAATTGAAAAAAAAAAAAATTATTGAAAATCACTTAAATAATTTTAAAAAAAATAGAAGAAAGTATGTATGTAGTAATAAAGTAGGTAAGTACAACAATATTTAGTAAAAATGCTCGTTAACATTGAGCAGAATGCTGCTTCTCGAGCAGTCGCTGAACAGGTACAAATTAAAAAAGAGAATGTAAAAAAAATTGAACAAGATAAAAAAAAAATCTCTAGATTTTCCCCAAATAGATAAATTTTCCTTTTTAGTTAAGGTACCTACTATTGGTACTACAAGATAAAGCTGAGGGTGAAACAAATTGAATCCAGGATTTGTCAAAATTCTTGAGATGTTCAATTAAAACTTTTTGAATAAATTCTAACCTATCCGGACTTCTATCGTAAAATTTCAACCTTACAGCACTCGCTTTACTTGAGAAGATAATGAGGGAGACAAACAATAAATGGTTATGCAGGGCTCTGCTTGGATTCGGCAAAGTGTTGATAGGGATGGACACAAATTTGGTTTTCACCGACTCTATTTAGAGCAAATGGTCCAATAATCCCACACTAACAATTGATTTTGAAAACCGAAGCAGCAATACCTATTTATTTGCCAAAACTTTGAATTGACTCACCTCAGAAAAATGTGATCCCACACAAAATGGAGGTCACAATAAATAAAAAATTAAAATATAATATTTATATTTTCAGTTAGATAAGATAAGATATCAGGTAATAAAAAAAACTCAACAATGGTAGTAGACACTGATGATGAAATAAATTGAAAAAATATTAAGGAAAAATTACAAAAATCAAAATCGACTTGCCTGCCCAGCCACTGCCAGAAAAGGGACCGTTTTAGAACTAACAACCCTGCAGGAAAAGGAGTTTCGTGTTTTTTTTTTTTATACTCAACTGCGTATTAACCATTGAACCAATCAGAAGGCAACATTCAATACACAAAAAAGACAAGGTTATGTTGAAAACACAAAACCACTAATTAATTAGTTCATCAAGCCAAAAATCATCATTTCAGAATCAGAAATCAGAGAAAGACAGAAATATATCTATTAGTCTATAGTTATAATTTCTTCAAATGAAAGTATCAATGAGGACTAATAAAAATAGTAGAAACCTATCACAATTTAAAAAATAAATTTTTCAGGTACTAGATGGCGGTACCTTCTCTTAATAACAGATATTTGCATTTTTATGTTCATTATGGGTAGATGGCAATACTAATATTATATTGAAATGACTAAATCTAGTAGATACTTTCAAATTACTTTAGCTATGAATTATTTCTATTTACAACATTCTTCTTACATTTTAGAAAAGGTAAAGTTGGCAACATTGTATAAAAGCCCGTAGGAAATATGGTTAATTGTTCTTAAGCGCGTTCAGAAATATTAGGCCGTTTCTATACTTAACGATAACCCTGTATATTCCAATCGTCAAATTTATGTCCTTTTCATTTTGATTATGGAAGTTTATACATGTTTTATGTGTTTCTAGGCGATTATGAGTCCCATGATAACGACTGAATATGATCAGAGTTCCACTCACTACTTCAAAAGCCGCGAGTAGCGAGATCCGCAGCTATCTACTCGTTATGGAGGTTTTTTTTTTTAGTTTCAATAAGCTTCATGTACAAAAAATGATCTTCTGATAGGAATCAGCTTAGTCTATGATATAGTTATTAAGGTATCAAGGGTATTATATAGTTATTTATGTACCAAGGCTTGTAAGTGTTACTTTTTTGGCCGAGGATGCAGTTTGCAAGCATTTGAGGCCAAAAAAGTACACGCTACAAGTCGAGGTGCATATGATATTTTTTGTGCTACCGTACATTCAAGATAATAAATATCACGAATTTGATGGAGCACCTATTTGCTTTTTTCGCGAAGAAGATCCCAAACTGATCCTGAATGCTAATATAAGGAAAGAATCACATCATGAAAAGCCATTGATATGAAACAATATTAATGGCTTTTTATGGTGTGATTCTTACTTTAGCGTTCAGGGTTAGTTTGGGATCGTCTTCGCAAATAAAGCTATTATTTTAACTGGTGTCCAGTTTGTTGTATTATTGTTTAAATTGACCTACTAATTCCATGCACCCTATGCTAGCAACCATTACAATCAAAATTGTGAACAAATTTGGCGTTGTCAACATATTCGTTAAATTGTCTTTTTTTTTTAATTGCCAGGCAACGAAATTCTTATTAAAATGTCAAGTTTATTTTGACAAAAAAAAAAGTTCAAGTCATAGTCAAGTGTAATTATTATTAGTGAAAAAATGTGCGAGAAAGTAGAAACCGGCGTAGAAGAAGCAGCAGCGAATGCTTGTGCTTTATTGCTGCCCGAAAAATCGAAAGAGAGGTACACATTTATATATTCCAAGTTTAAAGAGTGGCAAGCGGTGAAGCATTTGAATATTGTTGATGAAAATGCACTTTTGGCATATTTCTTTGAGCGTTCCCAACATTTGAAGAGTCCAGCAAGTTTGTGGAGTGAATACTCTATGCTCAAGACAACATTATCCATTAATGACAGTATAGATATTTCTAAATTTCCAAAATTGAGAGCTATTTTGAAAAGGAGAAACGATGGTTATAATCCCAAAAAATCAAATGTGTTTTCAAGGCAGGAAATAAAGACATTTTTGAAGGAGGCACCAGACAGTCAATATTTGTTGATGAAGGTATGAATATGGCTTTAGAACTATTCCATAAAACAGTGGTCTTTATTTTGTAGGTAGTTGCACTCATTGGCGTTGCTGGAGCGTGCCGTAAAGACGAATTGCTCAAGATGACATTAAGTGACATTGAAGATAAGAGGGATGTGATAATAATAAAAATTCCAGATAGCAAGAATAAAACCAGACGTTCGTTTACAATTATCAATGATACTGAAAATA